CGATTACGTCAACAATCAAAATCGTCAACGACTAATTTAATAGTCGACACGTCGTTTGAAGCTTTTTAAGATCCCATATATGTATATATATATATGTATGTATGTGTGTGTGTGTGTGTGTGTGTGTGTGTGTGTTGTTAAGTCTATTCATTTCATCAGCTGTGCCTAAACGGCAAGCAGACCAACCGCGTGGACATGACGTGTGTATAATGTGAAGTCCACGTATCCTTCTCGCTTACTTTAATCCAATGAAACATATCTCGTGGTGTGTCCCTTACTTCAGATTTCATCCCAGATATATTTCATTTATTTATTTGCATTAACAAATGAAACCAGATTTCACAGTAAATCTGCTGCGGTTAATGGTATGACAGTTAAGGTGGGATGCTGGTAGGGAATACGTCTGTTGCTGACTGCGCATGGGATGTGTCTGCCACGCTGCCTTCCGCCTACTTTGTGACGATAGGGCAGCACGACTGGCTCTACCCGGTTTGATCCTGTTGGCTCGCCGTTATTGTGCGCTGTGCTCGGGGGAGGCTGAAAAGAAGGAGATGAGGGGGAAAAAAAGACTGTGTCACTTCTTTCTTTCAGGTTTAATGTCTGTAGTGTCTGTCTTCAATATGGTTGAATCATGTGGAATTCATTTATATAAAACATTCTACTAAGGGGGGTAGAAATTTTGTATAAAACCACTTCCTTGCCCCAAATTCTCGAGGTAAGCTAATATATATGTGTAAGCACACAGGTGGATAATCAATTTATGTGGAATCATAAGTTTAAATTTGGTTACGTGGCATAACGGGGAATTTATTAACAAGTATAAAATGGTGTGAAGTTTTTCTATTGTTGAACCCTGATTTTTGTCACTGGTGTGTGACGTAACCGGTGCATGAGGGGGTCTCGCGAGAGCAAGCCTACATCGGTTGAGGAGGAGAGCTCATGCTGCTACATCTGTTGGTGAAACTTTGACATGCGGCCAAGAAAGGATGCTGAAATGACGCTGTTAGCGTTCGTGATTATCTTTAATATTCACGCGTGTATGTTTATGTGACGTTTCATAGAGGTGCAAAGAGATTTAGAGCGTTTGTCGAGAGCCATGTGCCCTCATAGAAACTGACGAGGAAACACGGATGTTAACCTTTGACGACCTTTGGTTATCATATGTTTTGGGTTTCCTAGTATGAAACAGCTTGATTCTATGAATGACTGCACAGACGATTACTCAAAGTCCAACTGGGTGTGCTCTGTTTCTTTAAACTCATCATTGAAAGCGAAATTGTTAACGTGTCACACACGTCTTCAACACAATAACACGTCGTTATGTAACAAACAGTAAGGAAAGGAACGTGCTCCAAAAATGCTGAGAGAAGATCATGCACAGCTTTATTCTCACAGAGTCTCGATCACGTCATGGCATCAGTGTTCCAGCTGTTTGCCACCGCGAAAAGAGGGTGGTGGTGGGGAGGAAACTATATATTGATGTATTGACACGCCACTGTGTTCTTATAAAGATCATGATTGCATTTTTTTTAATATATTCCCTATTAAAAGGTAAAATGTATGCCGAATTATCTGTCCGAGGTTACTGGTTACAGTATGTACGTAATTCTCACTGAATTATCATCATATTTAAGTTTGTTTTTTGTATTTGTTTTTAATTTGGGGGCTTCTCGAGCAACCCTTTTTGTAAACCCCCCTTTTCTGTGTTTTATTTAATATGGATGTCGGGAATAATGACATCATCGGAATCTGTAGGGACTATTGAATAAAAAGTAATGCCTATGAAGGCTGTTTGTTTGTGTTTCTTTGTATTATCCAGTCGCTCCAGGAATATTATTACTAATAATAATACAGTCACGAACAGCACAAGCACAAAGAGCTGTGAGGGAGAGAAGGAGAAGTGGGTCATTCGCATAATTTCGCTCTCCTGTCACGCCGAGGTGTTCTTCCGCTTCTCAGCTGTTGGTGCTCCCTGAGCAGCGTTGGTAAACAATAGCGACTTTTTAATACTATTTGTCTGTCAAATATGAGTCTTTAGAAATCTCCCAAGTGTGGGATAAAAGAAATGGAAGGTGAGAATGTAGTAGCTTGTGATGACCTTGTTTCATTTCCTGCCACTTCAGCTTAGAGACAGCGCTGTCGGCATTCGCCAGACCCCCTCGCCGGTCTGGTCTGAACCGGTTCGGAAAGTGCGCGGTCTCGTGCGCTCTGCAGACGTCTCTTACTGAACTGCGGAGCGCGCGATCCCTACAGGCTCGGCCCCCCTAGTCTTCCCTCATTGGTTGGCATTATAGCGGCTCGCCCACATCTTCCGCGTGCTTTTTGGGCAGTGATACAATTCGCGAGCTGTGATTGGTTACATCCTCTCGAAACCTTTGTTTTGGGGCAGGCGCCGATAACCGTGCACGGGCATGCGGATAAGTGGAGTTGTAAACGAAGCGTGTGCACTTTTCAGCACCAATACCTCGTGGATAGCAGCCAAACCTATAGAAAAAAATAGTTGTTCGGGTTAGTTTATTGTAAAAAAGCCGACAGCTTTGCTGTTTGCAGCACTACACAGCCGCTGGGAACGCGGGGATTTTTTTTTTGCTAGCAGCTCTGACCCGGCTAACGGAAATACAAAGCGCCAAAGCTCGTGCTTTGTTTGCCCTGGTGGCAAGAGCTGCATCCCCACATTTTTGCGGGTAAAACCGTCGTTCTCTCTTCGCGCTGTCGAATTAGCTCGGTGTGGGCTCAACAAACTGCACCAGCGAAAGACTAAATGGCAGGAAGTGAAAGGAAACAAAGGTGATAAAGAAGACTATTTGTCCACGTCGGTTCGGTCCAAACAGCGGTTGTAGCCGCCGAGGTCTCCATTGTGTGACCATCTCCGCCTGACCCTCGAATCCCGCGCTGCCACCGGTCACCTACTGCCTCCACGCCCACAGCTGTTGTATTTTCAAACGGATTTCTTTTTCAAACAACGTGAAAATGTGTTCTCGAGTTTGGTTCTTGACCGACCGGCGCATCAGCCAGGAGTATCCACAAGTCCAGATCCTCCGGGCGCTGAAGGAGCACTGCGCCGACGAGGACGTAGAATTCCGCTACCTCCTCATGGATCAAATCGTGCTGACGATCTGCGAGGGCCAGCTAGGCAAGTACCACACGATCGATGCGCGGTCGTAAAACGATATACAGCTTGGTTTTCTTGTTTTATTTGAGATCGGTATTCCGTATAGATGGTAGACTTTAATTGTTTGGAGGGGGTTGCACACAGCTTGAATACAGAGCGAGGGGTTGGCTCGGTCTGCCTATTTGCAAGGAAGCGAAGTGTAAGCATGGCCGTGACCGCCTAACCTACTTTTCCAGCTAGACTGCCTCCAGAAGGGGAAGGATGACGCTTGATTTAATTTCGCTGAATTCGCTGCAATCCCGGCAATTGCAAATTATCTGAATTACCCGGGCAATAAAAGCTAAAAGAAAAATGTGTTTAAATACCACAGAGACCTAGTTATTAGATAAGAGGCATTCATCAGTGAGCTGTTGTAACTTTGCTACAGATTGCGTCGCTTGATAACTAAGGCTGTAGGTTCTGTGTTATTATTTATTTTATTTTTATTTTATGTATATAAACATTGAATCATTTAAAATAGTTAAAATTGACTCCCCGAGTAATAGTTAACAAAAAGAAAAAGAATAGGACATTCAT